CTGCATAATCTCCTTCCTCTTCTCGATCTTCATTTCCCTTCTGTGGTTTTTCACAGAGCCCGTGTTGCTATTGCTGCAGCAGGATCCCGATGTATCGAAAACCGCCGCCCGGTATGTGAAATTTCTGATCCCTGGGCTGTTCGCTTATGGGTTTCTGCAGAATGGTCTGAGGTTTCTTCAGGCACAGTCGGCTGTCATGTTGCTGGCTGTGCTCTCTGCAATCCCACTGGTCCTTCACCTTGGTGTTGCTTATGCTCTGGTGAACTGGACAAGTTTGGGGCTGGAGGGAGCTTCTTTGGCTGCTTCCATTTCATTGTGGGTGGCACTCTTGGCTGTGGCCATTCATGTGTTTAAGTCTGAGAAGTATGAGCTCACATGGGGAGGATTCTCTGTTGAAGCTTTTAGTTACATATTTATCAACCTGAAACTTGCTTTGCCCTCTGCTGCAATGGTTTGGTAAGTGCTGGCTCTTGACTTTTGGAACTTGTTTTGTCTCTCTCTTTCTTTTGTTGCTTGAAAATTGGTAAGTGAATGATGTGTCTGTTGCATATTTTGGAGCTTTGTGTCCCTAATTTGTATTGGTTTGAGGGGTTTGTGGACTGTTGTGTTGATGCTTTGTTCATTTTGTGAACAGTTTGGAGTATTGGGCATTTGAGATTCTTGTGTTCTTGGCTGGATTGGCTCCAAACTCAGAAAAAAATACATCTTTGATTGCAATTTGGTACGGACCATGTATGTTTTTGTTCCTCCTTTTGTCCTCTAATGTTAAAAACTGTGCTTGGAAATGCTTTTGTTGGCAGAGTCTACTCTTCTTGTCATATGTAACCCTTTCATTAAGCAATTTTGAAAACTGTTGCACTTTTAGCATTATGAAAAAACTATCCCAACATTTTGTAAGAGTGTGTTTTTGAAATGCTTTTGGAATATGTGCAAAGTTCTTCTCAACTTTTAAAAGTGTTTTTATATTCTTTTTGGTCAAGCACATGAGTAAAAAACAGCTCACAAGTGTTTTAGTTTTGTGAGAAAGAGATTTGTGTTTTTGACTCTCTCTTTTTTTTCTTTTCAAATCACTTTTAGTCACTCCACAACGTGATTATTTTAAGCTATTCGAAAGGTGCGTTTTGCCTTGCCCCAAAAACGCTCTCAAAACATAACCCACAATTTAATTTGTTGCCAAATACAAAAACACAATTTGAGAAGTGCTTTTCAAGTAGTCAAGAGCATCTTTATGTTATTGAAACTCTACTTCTAAACACACTTCAGATCTATTTCCAATAATTGACCGAGATCTCCCTTTGGCATGATGTGCTCAAAAGTGTAAACACAGAAGCCATCGCCTACATGATCACATATGGACTCAGTGCAGCTGCAAGGTAAACAAATTTTATCAGCTCTTTTCTTCTTTTTCTCCATGGCCTCTCCCTCACATATCACATAACAAAAAAGAAACCTTATTGGACAGCACAAGGGTTTCGAATGAGTTGGGGGCAGGCAACCCTGTGAGAGCAAGACAAGCCATGTTTGTCACTCTTCTGCTTTCAATCCTTCTAGGCCTGGCTGTTGTTCTTCTGCTGGCGTTTGGCCACAACATCTGGGCTGGCTTCTTCAGTGATAGTCCTGTGATTATACAAGCCTTCGCCTCCATGACTCCCCTTCTCGCCATTTCCGTGCTTGCAGACTCCGTGCAGGGCGTTTTATCAGGTTCCCATAAATTTTCTCGGCTCTCCCGAGCGAATTCACTTTTTGTTTAACATGTTCTTGACTGAAACATATTCAAAATCTGCAGGGGTGGCCAGAGGATGTGGTTGGCAACACATGGTTGTGTTTGTAAACTTGGCAACATTCTATCTTGTTGGCCTTTCAACAGCAATCTTTCTGGAGTTCAGGATGAAACTTTACGCCTCGGTAAGTTTAAAATTCTATTTTAGTCCTTAAACTTTTAAGATGTATTCTAGTCACTAATATGACATGTCAAGTATTTGTTCCCGTAAATAAATAAATGACATGTCCACAGGATTTCAGTTAAGCGATTTATAAAAAAACTAACGATGATGATAATTTTATGCTGATTCAGCGATGTTCGAGAGTCGAAGAACTAAAGTTTTTACGAAAACTTAGAATCTAAATTGTAAGAAATTGAATGTGACAAATATAATGTGTTTGGTGCAGGGATTGTGGATTGGGTTAATCTGTGGTCTATCATCCCAAACTTTGACCCTATTGATATTAATAGTTCGCTCAAACTGGACAAGGATTGAGCTCTTAGATCATCAAGGGAAACAAAATCCAGCTTTGGCTTGATTCATGAGACTAGACAAGAAATTGCAGAAGAATTTGGGATTTTCAAGAGCAATAAATTAGGATGACAACAATTTCAATTTGGAATTTAAGGAAAATAAAGATTTGGATTTTGATTAATTAGTGGTATTTCGAAGTATGCTTCAAAATTTGTAATATATTGTATCATATTGTAAATGGGATGGGAATTACAATTCATAAGCATGGTGTTTGTTTAGAATCATTGAGCTATATCAAGTTGACACATAATTAATTTATATATTTTTCTGGGTTATTTTTTAAAAAAATTAATTTGTACTATTATTTTTTTTTCTGACTTCCTGGAAATGGAATTATCCAACAATTCTAGATCATAGTCTAAACGTGCAAGATTTTATTTTACAAACTTTGAATAATAATAATAATAATAATAATAAGATTTAAGTCTTATTTTAGTCATTAAGTTTTGATTTTCATCCCTAATTTTCTAAATATTTATTTTTCAGATCTTAAAATTTTGAAACGGTTATATTAGTTGATAGATATACGTTAAAAGTTGTTAGGGGTAAAGTAAATTCTAATCTAGAAATGAACTACATTATAGTCTAGTCATCTAAAATGTGCGAGCTTAGGAACGATCTAAAAGGCTGATCTATGGGTACAACCCAAATCCTGTACATAGACCATTACACGATGAATCAAGTCCATAGACATAAATCAAGAGGCTAAGCTCAAAAGCCCAAACCACCCATGAGGGGCCATGGCTGACCCATGGGTATCCCATGAGCCGAGTTCCTTGAGCTCCATTCCGTGAGATAAGTCACTAGACCTAATCTTTTGGTTCTTTTGAAGACCTATCAAACCTCTCAACTTGAATCTCAACTTTTGGAAATTCAAAAAGAGAAAATATTTAAAAAAGAAAAAGAAAAATAATAGAGACGAATGTCTCATAATTGAGAAGTAACTACAAAATTCTAATTATCGCTACATTTAACACAAACCCTAGATTCGAGTCATCGGACTTATTGGCTTACTAGAGCATATTGGATTAACACTGGTTTAAAAAATAATATAGATATTTAAAAAATTTAAAGATGAAAATATAATAACTTCAAAGTAAGAGAAACAAAAAAAAAACCCAAAAAGTTGAATGCGAATTTGAATTTTAAACAGTTTAGAAAGTATAATATTTTATTAACCGCGACACGAGAAAACTATTTGAAATTCAATTACTATAATAAGATTATTCTGTCGCATTTCACATGGCGCGTTTCAGCGCGGCCTTGGTGTCGCCATTTAAACGCAGTCCGCCGCACCGCTTTACTCTCATTTCTCCGCCTTCAAAATCCGGCCAACTACTCCCCGCCACTGAATCGGCCGTTTCACGTTTTCGCCGGTAAATGCGATTACTCCGGTGAACAGGCCACATGCTTCCTGCAAATAATGCGACTGAAATAGAGGTCGCCGGAACAAATGGATCGAGCTGGCGGACGAAAGCGCTGGACATCGAGGAAGCCAAGAAACAAGGCTTGTTATCACTTCCGATGATTCTCACCAATGTCTTCCTTTACCTAATCACTTTGGTATCTGTAATGTTCGCTGGTCATCTTGGCGAGCTTGAGCTCGCTGGTGCTACGCTGGCCAACGCATGGGCCGCCGGAACTGGCCTCGCTTTCATGGTAATCGCTAAGCCGCCTCTAATTAGACGTCCTGTATCTTAACTCTGTTTTGTTTCTAGTTTTCACTTTCACATTTTGTGTTTGCGGTGATGGAAACATTGAAAATCAATCTGTGGCAGTTCTTGGACATCAGTAGACCTGAATGAGCTGATTACTACATTCCATATATACACTAAAAACTTCTGGAACTGAGATTTTAATCGTAGCCTTTATATGATCATATCCCTGTCCACAAGGTTAATGTAAAGTGAATGCTATTTCACTTTCCGTCCAATTCAGAATTCGGTTGTTATTGGCATGTTTTCGTGAGGATTATTTCTCTTTAAGCTTATTTTAATGGGGTTCAAGCTTTATAATTTTTGTGTTACTTTGGTTTTTAAGAAGTCCTTATTGTTCTTATCATGACTCAGACCGGATTAAGTGGAGCACTTGAGACGCTTTGTGGACAGGGATTCGGTGCAAAAGTATACAGAATGCTGGGCATCTATCTGCAAGCCTCCTGCATCATCTCCTTCTTCTTTTCAATCTTGATATCAATTTTGTGGTTCTTCACGGAACCCATATTAGTTTTTGTACATCAGGATCATGAAATATCCAAGATGGCTGCTGTCTATTTGAAGTTTCTCATTCCCGGAATATTTGCATATGGCTTCTTGCAGAACATCATAAGATTTCTTCAAATGCAATCTGTTGTCATGCCTCTAATTTTCTTCTCAGCGATACCTTTGGCCATCCACATTGGCACTGCATATGCTCTGGTTCACAAGACAGCTCTTGATTTCAAGGGGGCTCCTTTGGCTGCTTCTGTTTCTTTATGGATAGCAGTCATGATTTTGGCCATATACGTGCTTAAAGCTAAAAAGTTTGAGCATACTTGGGAAGGATTTTCTTTAGATACATTTAGTTACATTTTTAGGAGCTTGAAACTTGCCCTGCCTTCTGCGGCTATGGTATGGTAAACGCCCTCAACTTTTCATAACCTTAACGGTTCCAAATTGAAGAAGTTTTCTTTCGGAAGATGAATTCATCGGTAAATACACTTGAATTAAAATGAATAATTTTGTGTGTGTCTTTGGATTTAAAACTAAAAGTTGAGTCCTTCTGTAAAAAAATGGTCCTAAGCTGAACTATGGCAGTGTCCTCACTAATACGATGGCGTAATGTAGAAGTTCAAATATGAGTCAGTCTTCAATTGTCAAGTGTCACAGTTTCGGTTCATGAGTTGAAATTTATGGTTTAAATAATATACTCTAAGATTGTCTTCCTTTTCATTCTTGTTATCAGTTTGGAATATTGGGCATTTGAGATTCTGATATTCTTGGCTGGCTTGACTCCAGACTCAAAAACAACCACATCTTTGATGGCAATGTGGTATGCCTCTCTGTTTTCTCTTCATCTTGTCTGCTCTAAATTTTTCTTTTTCCCTGTTTCTTAATCCGCCTTCGCTTTTTCCTGTTGCTTGATACATTTAAGTGTGAGTACAGAAACAATTGCTTACATGATCATATATGGATTGAGTGCAGCTGCAAGGTTGGTATGAGGAAAACTTGTTGATTTTACGTTTCCTCGACTATGTTCGAACAGATTAACAAATGAATCTTTCTGTGACAGCATAAGGGTATCAAATGAGTTGGGTGCAGGCAATCCTTGGAGAGCTAAGCATGCAATGTTTGTCAGTCTCAAGCTGTCAATCTTTCTCGGGATCACAGTTGTTTTAACATTAGTATTTGGTCATAGTATTTGGGCTGGCTTCTTCACTGATGTCCCCTTAATAAAAGATGAATTTGCATCCATCGTACCCCTACTGGCAGTTTCTTTGATGGAAGATTCTGTACTAGGCGTACTTTTAGGTACTAACAGCCCCTTTTTCTGGAACTCTCTATCTATCTGAAGTATTTTCTTATTTTTCCTCTGTCAATAAGATTAATTTAGAAATGCAGGTGTGGCTAGAGGTTGTGGATGGCAGCATTTTGTTGTTTATATGAACTTGGCAACATTCTATTTAATTGGTCTGACAATTGCAGCCCTTCTTGGATTTAAGTTGAAACTATATGCTAAGGTAATCATAATCAGTCTAGAACACATCCATGAATAATATATTAGCTAATAACAAATGTTTCACATGTTATGTATTGTTAATAAGCTTTAACTCATCTTTTAACAAAGACCAAGGCTACATCAAATTCTCTCGTAATTCTCATTTGTCATTCATTGCTATTTCCACGACAGGGCTTATGGATTGGTCTAATATGTGGTCTTTCCTGCCAAACACTTGCCCTCTTTTTAATAATAATTCGCTCAAGATGGACAAAGAGGGAGTTTGATCGTGAAGATAGAGAAAATCGAGTTCAGCCAGCCTAAAGAAATGACAGCGACACACCAAAAAGGAGATTGGTATTAGAACTTAGAACACCCTCTAAATAGGCTAATCTTCATAACTTCAAAACTACAAATATTAAACTTTTGATCCCCAATTTTTATATATCGATGTTGTCGTTAAATCTTGTATTGCACTTAATAGAAATTTTTAGTTACTCTTATCCAAACTCCAAAGAAGGTAGCAACTAGCAATACAATGATATAAGTGATAGTTGTAAATATGTGATCTGAATTTGCAGCCTGATCTAAAAGGTTTGTTGTGTAACTTTTTAACATGAAAAATACTTATAAGGTTTGTGTTGGTATACTGAACTGAGCATAGATTTTTAATCCATTTTTCATCATAATGAAATGTTCTCCTTTGTCTATCGTTTTTGTTTGTATAAGATTTTTGTACATAAACTTGTTTGTCCATTCTATTTTCTTCCTTTCATTGCCATTCATTATTGTTGTTTTTTCAATGGTGACCTATATACTAATACCGAATGTGATGACCAAGATGGACTTCTATGGAAATTTCAGGTACCAAAAATAGGATTAAAAACCTAACTTCTTTCTTGTGTTTTCCATCTATTAAGAGCAATGAAATAACTACCAGATCCTAAATTAAGAGCTCCAACTCTTGAGCTAATCTTTTCCTCTTCTGGCAAAAACTCTGAAATAGCAGATCCTAAACCTTTAAGAACAACCAAACCCTTCTCCCATTCTCACCAACATCATCATCTCCTTCTAGTTTCCACAGGCAACCGACACAGAGGCAGACAGCGAAAGAAAGCAACGACGATGGATTCAAAAGCAACCCTGAGAACACTTGTCCTGGTCGCCATGGTTGCTATGAGCATCGTCTTCCTTCCAATGGCATCAGAAGCTCATGCTCATATCCCTACCGTGATCGACAGATGCATCCAGAGTTGTGCAAAGTCATTGGCAACTTTAACTCCTGGTTATTGCCTGACCGTTTGTGAAGGCGAGTACGGTTCTCGACCTCGACGACCTCGAGGCCACGTTGTTGATACATCACCAGCCTCAAACTAAACTGGCTGCTGTCTTTTCTTTTCCATTAATGGCTTTGGTGTTGAAGCTAATTATTTGCCTCTTTGTTGTCATGTTTTTCCTGTAAGAGGTGTTTAAGCCATTTGCTTTGCTGTATGTGTTCTGAAATTTGCCTATTATATTTGGCACTCTTTTAATTTGTTGCCTGTAATTAATATTCAACTTCTTTTCCCTTAACTCTAACCTCAAAGTTAGATGTGTGCATGCATGCATTTATGAAAAGGTGGTTTCAAATATAGAAATCACAATAAATAATTTACAAAGAATTGATTTTTTTTTTCTTTTACCTATGTAATTTGGTCTACTGATTGTTTTTCTTTTTTAGTAACAATGGGCAACTGTGCTCTTGTTGGTCTATTACTTTAAATCTGAAAAACATTCCAAAAACCAATAAGCGTTGGGTTCGGTTATTGTTTTTCTGTTAACACAGTAGCTAAATAATCCCAATGTGTTACATAAGGTAAATATTGTATAATTGTTCGGTTTTCTGCAATTTTTTCCATCCCTCTGTCTAAATAAACCAATATCGGTTCACAGTTAATAACATCTTCACTTTAGTTTAAATTTAGTTCTTATGATTTTAGCTAAGTTTCAATTTGGTCCTTATAATTTTGTCAAACCTCGCAAATTGTCTTTTTTATCATCATATCAAATGTAATATGTTATTTTTATACTTACATGGTAATGAACTTGTGTTAGCTAGGTGTATCATGATCTAGGTTTGAGTAAAAATAGGAAAAAAACTAAATAATTTTTGGTTGGATAAAACATGTTCTAGGTTTGAGTAAAAATTGGTGAGGTTTAACCCCATCACAAGACCAAATTGACATTAAACTCAAACTAAATGGACCAAGTTGAAACTTCTAAAACCGTAGATCTAAGTTGAAATTAAGTTCAAACAGTATGGACTAAATTTATAATTGAACCTAAGAGGTGTTATAATCATACTCCCGAATTTTTAATTTCAACAATTAATCCTCCTAAAATGAAGCAAATTAGATCCTACCATTATAACCCTTAACTCATTTTAAGGCATTTGTTTTTTAAAGATATATGATTGGTGAGGACACCTTTTTAGATGGGTAAGGTTATTTTGTGTAGGTTAGTTTTTTGGGGAGACACTTGTTACATCTTTAAAGTTGATGGTTCAATTCTCCACCTCACAATCATTGAATTAAAGAAAAAAGATTGATAAAAAATGTTTTAATATAAACATAATTCGATGAATGAGGCATTGGTAACCTTTCTCGTAGGTTGCCAAGGCGAGCATAGGTCAGCGGTAATTAATATATATCTCTAACCAAGAGGTTGTGAGTTCGATTCTCATCCCTACATGTTGTCCTAAAATAAAAACTTTTCTTATAGGTTGAAAATTCAAATCTCCACCCAACACTTATAATATTATTTTTTAAAACAAAAATTGTGATTAGAAGTGAGGAAAAAAGAAAACTTTTTAAACTACATAGACAGTTGCACATATAGCAATCCGACTCAAAATAATAACAAATCTAACACAAGTTAAAACGACATCAACACATATCAACTCTGCACATCTATTAGTGATATATGTCTATGAGTGTTTATCCCGAATAGTTAATCGCCCTACAAAACTGTCATATTTGCAAAATCTTATTAGACAAATATTCAAATCTAAGTTAAGTGAAAATAGATTACATATAAAAATGGTATAAAGTTAAGCAAATGATTTTTGTCCCATAATTACCACTACATGAAAGAAGGGATAGAATAGTACACCACAATTTTCAAAAGTAGTTGAGAACAAAGTTCAAATGAACCAAACCTTCTTTTTAACATTGGCATTAAATATTTTGACATAACAGTAATAAATGTCATAGTACTATAATTTACTATACCTCTAATCCAATGTTGGGTGATTAGTGTTGTTAATGATCCCAACCAACCTATAATTTGATTTATTTATTATATTTTTAAATTAATATGAATAAGAAATAAATGAATAGACAATCTTTAAAAAAAAAAAAATAAAAGACAATTGCAAAATTTGTTTCTAAACTTTATTATGTTATGTATGATAAAATCCCAACTTTCCACCGTTCAAATTCCCTTTAAGAGATTCAAAAGGAATAATGTTGATGACCTTATGATTCAAATATCTTATATTCAAAAGGAGGAGGTATCCTGATTACTTCAAGATTCAACTAGGGAAGTAAGCCAAACCCTAAAGGTATGCTCGCATCAGAGCCTCAAGAGCCACACCTGTCTTTGTCTTTAGTGCTATTCTGTCTTGCAGATCTCGTCGATCCCTATCATTCTAGTAGATTGGTACGAATTTGACGGAATTCCAAGAGGCCAAATTTCTGCATTAACATATTACATCAATACATTTCTTTTCTTTCTTTCTGAAATGAATAAATTCAAACAATCGAACGAATTCACTCTACCATATTACATAGTTGAATTAGATTAATCATATAGGGTATTATTTATGTGAAATAAATCACAAATCACATAATTAAATTCAATTTGAAATATCTTTTAAGCTCGACCCAACTTATCAACATCCTCATCTTTAGAGATTGCAAATTCCTAATATGGACATCGGAGTTCTCACATAACACAAGGTTGTAGGAAGAA